ACTGCTGCTGCATCCCGCGTGTCTGAAACCCTGGGCTTGGGCTCACTCTCTACCGCACCCCCTACAGAAGAAGCAAGACAAGCCGAAACCGACACCACCACCAAGCGAACCGGCACTCTCTCTAGCCTCATCTATGGCACCCCCGAAGGCCAAAACCTAGATAAAGAGATGGAAAGATCATTCTCCCAGGTGTTGGCTAGGGGCAAATACGTCCATTCGATCGTCTTTCACGATGTGAAACCGGATAAGGTCGACGACTATGTAGAACTGGTGGGCAATTGGTATCCGAGGATGGCAAATGACCCGGAGAATAAGGTGCATTTGGTAGGAAGTTGGAGAACAGAAGTGGGGGATTGTGAAACTTTTGGTATACTGCCTCCGTCGCCAAAGTGATCAAACTGACCAAATTCCTGCAGTTCATATCTGGGAATACCAGCGCTACACGGGATACCACGCCTCATTGCACAGCATCGCACACCACCCTGAATTCCCCGCCTTCGAGAAAAAATTGCAGACGCTTATCACATCCAAGAAGATTTCACTGATGCAGGAATTCTCCTTTTGGCCAACTACTCCCCCTCGAAAACTTGGCGGCTTGTTCGAACTACGATCCTATACCTTGCACCCCGGAAACCTGTTGGAATGGGAGACACACTGGCGGAAAGGACTCAAAGCACGCCGAGAAGTCATGGAGGGCGTGGGTGCTTGGTTCGTACAGATTGGAGATCTGAACACCGTGCACCATCTATGGCAATTTGCGGATCTGGAGGAGCGTAAATTGAGACGAGAAATGTCGTGGGGTATCGAAGGATGGGGGGATACTGTGCACAAAACAGTGCCATTGATCCAGACCATGAAAAGCAAGATCCTTATTCCCATGCCGTGGAGTCCTGTGGGTTGAACCATTCGGGAGGAGAGTGTATGGAATTGAATCTGAGGAAGACGCGATCGAGAAGGGTCAAGCATTGACATTGTGTTGGAGGGGTGTAATTTCAGTCACAGTCAAGCAAAAGCATCAAACTACCGCTGGTCTCAGCGACCGGCAGATCCCTAGGTCTGCCAGATAGACAGCTAGTTCAAGTCGAGGCTAACTGATGGATCAAATCCAAGGCCTCTTATGATAGCAACCCACCATGGAAACGGTTGAGGCAAGGCGGTGTCCCGACGAGCCGAGTATGGACTACTCAATAATGTCGATGGCCCTTAATAGTAGCTCCACGGTGCTTTACCTGAATGGGATATTGCAGCTGTTAATTAATCAAAGTCCGCTTTAAGAGAGGCATGATTGGAAGAAAAGGTTGGCATTTGAGTCTGTCGCCAAGGAAATTTATACGGGGGAACCTCGTATATTGCAACTTTTTCTCTGCGATCCGTTCTCGACCCATGCCACAGCCCACCAGACTGTACATCAAAGGAGCAATGCTTACTCGGGCAAGGGCTTCAGGGTTGTGTCATGGCTGTCGGCAGGACCTTCAAATCCTGTTCGAAAATGGGTTCTGTGGCCCGCCTGTCACGCTGAAGAATCGATCAACACCGCTACCCCTGCGATGGCAGAGGACCCTCGCACCGCGCCAACATCTCAGATCCTTCTCCAGGAAATCTACACTTTTCCAACGGCATTCTCCCCAGGAGTTCGAGCAGAGACCCACTCTATTGGAAAGCGAACAGACATCTGCAGTTGACGTCGACCCGGAACAACTGGAGGTATTGCAAGAGTTGGAAAAGGCCTTGGGCCGGCCTATGAATGAAGCAATTGATGAAGATCGAGCTGGACATATGGTCATAAAAGATATTGTTCCAGACGAGCAAATAGACCTGCACAATAGGGTCGATGGTACAAGTGATCCGCTTGCACGCTTGCGAGCGTCTGGAGCGTCTCCCGAAGAGATCGTACGCGAAGCGAGGCAGATATACGGAGACAGACTTCCTTCAATTGCTCTCGGGAAAGAGGAACTGAAGATGTACAAGCGACTCTATGGGGATCCTATTTCAGCGTCTTATGAAGAGTTCCTCGACGAGGAAGAGGCAAGTACTGTCGTGGAGATTCAACACCAGCTGTTGGACCGAGAAGGCGAGCCAATCGATTACGACCCAGAGCCGACCGTCTTTGCACGATCAGAATCCGTCAAAGGAGGGGAATCTGCCGGGATCGCCCCCCCAAAGCCTGCGCAAGGAGGGATTGGCCTCGGAATGGCCGCCCAGAAGGATCCAACTCTTTTGTTGTCCCCTGAGGAAAGAGCCGCGGAAATAGCTCGCTTGCTCAACGGCAAGATTGTCGAAGACGGTGGGCGGGAGCTGGCGGAGGAGGAGCAGGAAGATGAGAATGATGACCGAGATCCGAGCATGCGATACCACCCATTCACCCAGCTTGGAAAGTTCGCTACTGCGCCTAGCAGCGTCCTTCTCTCCCAAGAACACTTTGTGCAACCGGTTCAGAAAATCATGAGCAGTTTCTCCAACAAGCATCTCAAAGAGATGTGCGAAAAGACTTTTGGAGGACCCGGCCTTCCTGACTCGCCGTTGACCCCCAGATCGGGACGATCGAGGCCTCAACTTCCCATCCCGCTTGATGCTTCTCAACACCTGATGGGTGAGATGGAGGCGAACGCATTCATCACGACCATCATGCCGCCCACGTACGCTGCCATCATGTCCGTCATCGTTGAGACACGCAAACGACTAGGCACTACATGGCTGAACAATCTGTTGGCGAAGGACGGCGGACCGCGCGTCCTTGATGCAGGCGCAGGCGGTGCAGGTATCCTCGCCTGGCGAGAGATCGTCGACGCGCACTGGAACTCATTGCACTCGTCTGATCGTGATCCCGTGCCTCCTCCCCCGCCAACGAAATCCGTTGTCCTGACAGGTTCAGACACACTGAGACATCGGGCGGCCGTGCTTCTCGAGAATACAACTTTCATCCCGCGCCTACCCGATTACGTACATACCCGCGACTCGCCGACCCTAGAAGACGATCGACCTGCACAACAGCGAAAACAATTCGACGTGATTATCGCACCACACACGCTATTTGGATTGCAAGAAGATTGGATGCGAAAGCAACTCGTGCAGAATCTTTGGTCAATGCTCAGCCCCGAAGGCGGCGTTTTGATTTTGATTGAAAAGGGTATTCCGCGCGGCTTTGAAGCAATAGCTGGCGCGAGGGAAATGCTTCTGGAGAGATACATTGCTGTCCCGGAGGGGCGAATGACAGGGTACAGCAAGATGCATGCTGACGCCGAAGACGTCCACACGCGAGAAACTGGTATGATTGTCGCGCCATGTACGAATCATGAAAAATGCCCGATGTACAAAATCCCTGGTGTCTCAAAGGGTCGGAAGGACTTTTGCAGTTTCCAGCAACGCTACATACGGCCCAGCTACCTCCAACGTGTTCTCGGGGCAAAGGATCGCAACCACGACGACGTAGATTTCTCCTACATCTCGGTGATGAAAGGAGAAGATCTGCGTCAGCGACAAGTCCAATCCTGGCGAGGGCTGGAAGACGCCTTCTCTACCCCTCTCCATCCGGACCCACAGCTTGCGGCGGAAGATTATCAGACCTGGACTCGTCTCTCTTCAAATGGGTTTGAGGAGATCCTTCCTGCGACTAATCTCTCCGATGCTCCCTCCCTATTCACTAACACAGACAAATCTCCTTCGACGCTGCCCTCCACACACAACCTCCCGCGCATGGTTTTTGCGCCAATGAAACGTCGTGGCCATGTAATACTCGACGTTTGTACACCATCGGGGAAGATTGAACGCTGGACCGTCCCGAAATCATTCTCAAAGCAAGCTTACCGTGACGCGCGAAAGAGCCAATGGGGCGATCTGTGGGCTTTGGGTGCTAAAACACGCATACCAAGGTCATTGAGACTTGGTGGTGAAGATACAAAAGAGGCGAGGAAGGCGAGAGGGCGTAAGGAGCGGTTGAAGCAGCAGGCGGAGGAGTTGATGGAAAAGATGCATGAAGAGCAACTAGAGGAGATGGAAGAACAGAAAGAGATGGAGAGGGCCTTTAAAGAGGGGAGGCTTCCAGGGAGGGACGACTATGAGTTGGGAAGTCACGAGGCGGCAAGAAGGACGTCTCGACCTGGCCGAATCAGGCGTGAGAAGTCATCCGGCGGTGTTGAGACTTTCACGTTTGAGGATTTCGACAAGGACGAGATGAACCCGCCTCTTATCCCACAAAAGACACGCACTCCGACTCCTACCTCGACTCATGTGCCTCACCGCCCTTTGCCAAAGCAATCAAAATCTCTTGCGCCAGCAGATGGAGATGACCAAGGAGACCTTACAGACGAAGAACTCCAGACCCTGCGAGAATGGAATGAAGAACTTATGGCAGGAGAGGGGGGTATCACGACAAAAGGCAAGAGATCGGTCAGACGATATTCCAAGTTCGCTCCAAAGGGCATGAAGACGGTGGTGAGGAAGAGTGGCAAGGTCAGATAAAGATCCGAGCAAAGAAGTTAGCATACCATCTGTAAACTACGTGTATGTATTATGAATGAAGACAACAAGTCTCCCCTTCATCGTCTCATCCCGAGATTCAATATACACTGCCTGCTTACGTCGCTATGGCCGTTGACTTATTTGCCTTTCAGACTCTCTACGCGCTTGAAGAAGAAGAAGAAGAAGAAGAAGAAGAAGAAGAAGAAGAAGAAGAAGAAGAAGAAGAAGAAGAAGGACCATCTCGCGCGAGGAGGAGGCTGCTGCTGGGATTCCGGATTCCTTTAAAGCCTACTTGTTGTCTTAGGGTTGTTTGGATTAGAATAACTATTACCTTCTATGGTACATATATATCTACATGTATCGTACCACCGGCGCCTGGGTCACTTTTGTTTCTATGTTTCGCCTTCTCCCCTAAAATCAAATAGCCACCGCCGGACTGCTAGACAACGGGCAGGCCTAGTCCGCTGCGCCAGGAGAGAGGGAATTCGAGCCACACATGCATTACCTCAAGATAGAGAGAAATACAGAATACGTGCAAAATGTCAAGCCAGAGCAAGAGCGCGCAATATTCGACTCTGCCTCACGGCCCACCAGAGGTGGAAGCCCCCATCCGTCGAAACGGGTGTGTCCACGACGAAGCAATCGCTCCAACTCGCCCCTCCATCGGCAGTGGCTGTCCCATCGCCGAGGGTGTTGGCCGGCAATCCAAAGGAATCCATGTAGAACATTCTGATTGGCTGGGTCTCGTCGAGGACGTGCACGACGATCGTCACCGCCGCGAACATGAGGAGCGCGATGAATGCCAGGACGGTCATGCCGATGGCGCGACCAGGCATTTTGTGGCTTCTGGCCTTTACGCCAATGTTATCGTAGCCAAAGTTCTGCGCGCGACCTTTCCTCTTGCTTAGGGTCAAAGCCTGCAAGAGCTCGGACGGATGCTTGAGGACTTCCCAGATCCAGCGCGAGGAGAACAACAGGACAATGAGCCCGTAGAGCAGGCCGACGCCACCGACAATGATTTCCGCGAGGACCATATAGGTCATCATGTTGGGGTCGATGTCTTTGTCTCCTGTCGCGTCGCTGGACAGCAGGCATGATTTCGGATACGGCATCAGCTCTGCGTCCATTGAGCTTGGGACGGTGTTGTTTGCCCACAGGTACTTCGAGTCGCAGCCGACGAGGTTAGGTAGAGGTTGTGCAAACGTGGCGCACGACTTCATATTGTGACCGGTCTTGTAGCCCAGCATGCACGGACAGTGTCCACCGCGGACCGCAAATTCCTGGTAGGACGTGTCCTTGTTGTGTATGAAGGAAAGGAGCCCAAGGATAAGACTCGCATAGATGGCGCAAAGGTCCACGAAGATGAGCAGGTACAGGATCCGGGGCATGGCGCGGCTACCCAGGTATGTCTGCACCGATGTAAACATGATGACAATGTTGATGATACCCGGGTACGTGTGTCCCCTTTCCCCCATTGTGATTTGTGTCAGAACCGCGAGCAAAGCGCCCGCGCGGATAGTCGACCATCCTATTCCTATGATGCTGGTGATCAGGGCACAGCGGCCAAGGCCGCCGTACTTGCTCCTCTCGTCCAGCGACGACATAGTGGTGCTACTGGCGGAGCTTAAGCCTCGCTGGTGGAGTGGTAGGTAGGATTTCGGGTCTGTGGGCGGGTAGATGGGGATTGCGGTATCGCTGTCGCTGAAACGTCGGGCCTTTGGCTCCCAAGACTTGTATGATGCTTGGACTCCTAGAAAACCTAGGATGATAGAAAGTGTGACGCTCGCTAGGACCCAAGGCCATGGGGTTGGATGGTTAATCCATTCTGCGTGCAGGTCTGAAGTGTGAGTTGGGTCGAGGTAACCTTGTAAGGCTGCATGGGGATTGCTTGATGCGGTGGACATCTTGGTCGTTCTTGGAGCTTGCTGTCTTGGAGCTATGCTTCTCAAGTCTTTGTGTTGGGATGGTCCACAGTTCTGAAATGTCTGATCGGCAGGCAAGCATTATTGAGCATCAGGAAGAGCAGACCATCTCTCCAGATATATCCTAGACCATCTCCCGTGTCCATCAGGCTGTCGGCGGCTGCTGTCAATTGCACACAGTAAGAAGGCGGAGGGGCCGGAAGAAACCTAAAATCCGAGTGTGCCTTGTCGAAGCGCCAGAGAGGTCGGGGCCGGATTGAGCAGTCGTCGATCTTGAAGGAATGGCCTGCATGAATCATCCTGAGCAATTCGGTTCCGGAGGAGTCATCCCGCCGTTGTTGCTGTAAGATGGCCACTTCGCGGCCGTACCGACAACAGAAAAGGAACGAACTTCCCAGCGCGCAGAGTGTGAGTCCCGCGTTCTGCAGGCCACATGCTTCTTCACGGCTCAATACGAGGTCCTTCCCAGTCATTGCCAGTTTGTGCAAGCGACTCGGCAATGGCCAATGAGAGACGAGACCAAAGTCCAGCCTGACCCCGTATATGCAGCCACTGCCGTCGTGAAGCTGAAGTCCTGAAAGCTTTGGCAAAGTGCGGCGATTTGCCTGGGGCATTTCTTGGTATCTCCCTCGAGACAGACGCGGTCGGCTCCAACATCTCCCCGACTGTCATCAATTCGGCCGTGTGTCCATCGAAGTGGAAGCCGTATATGTTTGCAAACTCGGATATTAGGGGAGGGATGGTTGTTAACTGCTGATCTGTGCACAAGTACCTTCAGAGCCAAACCTACCTTTGCGGCCATGAACAGTCACGGACATGGTTCATTCCGCCCTGTTCGCATTGATGAGTAACGAGGCATTGAACTTTCAAAGGGGGTGAGTCGGCGACTGGGACGTTCAAGGTGGTCAGAAGTTGTGTTTCGACAGCAGTGAAGGTTGTGCGCACCGACCGCCGTTTAATCCACCGTAACAGATATGGCGAATCATTAATATGCCAGCCGCAGTCTACTTCCGACTTCCTACCGAGTTTTCACCAGGTACGATCCGGATTCATACTCACTTCCACGGCTCTGCTCGTCAAAAATCCTGATGTTCTTCTTCCTCTACTCTCTGTGAGATATGGTGGAGGGAATCTCGTTCATGTACGCTAGCAGGGTCCCCTGGAAATCGCATTTGACGGACAACGTCGCCGAAATACATAGTAGGCTTGAGCTCCATGTCTTTTCACTTGCCGAACACTCGATGCGGAGGTGGGGTCTGGGAATGTGGATCACTGGATGGTGGTGAAAATGCACCTCTGGCCCCCGGCGAAGACGAGGCTTGTGTGTCAGCATAAGACGTCGATCGACTTGCGTGTTTCTGCTAGGCATAGCAGACTGTCACCGAAGCATCTGCTTGCCACTCGTATCGCCGGGATACTTCGTAAAATGGCCAGCCAAGTCCAGCAAACGCACGATGTCTCGGTCCAAATAGGTAACTTACAGGTCCAGGGGTTCGTCAACAAAGCACACAAAGTTGCAAATTACTTGGGAATTCAGTATGCGACAATTCCGGCAAGATTCCGCCAGTCCAAGCTCATCAACCTCTCAGAGAAGAGTGGTGTCCTCGACGCAACCCGCTACGGACCCAGATGTCCTCAGAACACGGTGAACCGATCGGAGACGGCGCACCTGTACGAGGGTGTGCGACGCAGCTCTGAGTATCCATTGGACGAGTTTGGGTGTTTGAGGCTCAACATCTATGTTCCCGAAGGCAACCATGGTACTTTACCCGTACTGGTGTGGATTCACGGCGGAGGCTTTATCTTTGGAGATGGCAATTCTGAATATGATGGAAATTATCTTGTGAAGCACGCCTTGGAAAAAGGGAAACCCATTATCTTCGTGGCCATGAATTATCGACTGGGATTCTTTGGGTTCCTGACGTCAAAGGAGCTTAGAGCTGAAGCCTCCGCCGACGGCGAGACGCCATTTTCCAACATGGCAATGCATGACCAACGAGTCGCCCTTCTGTGGATACAAAAGCACATCCACCATTTCGGCGGTGACCCATCCAATACCTGCATCGCGGGCGAATCTGCGGGCGGGTGGTCGGTCCTCGCTCATCTACGATCAGACGTACCGGTTTGTCAGAGAGGTATCATACTGTCAAGTCCCAATCTAGACTTTCCAGAGCCTGAAGAGGCTCAAGAGACTTTCGATGAGCTTGTTGCCAGCACGGGTGTCTCGCCTTCTGCATCCGCCGAGGAAAAACTCACCGCTTTGCGTAATTTGGACTCGATGGAGATTGTGCGGTTGATGGTACCTCGGCTGGCAACACCACTCTGGGACGACAAATGGTTTGTTTACCAAGATGGTAACAGGCCTATTGCAGGCCCTGCTCCCTTCGCGCCGTGGGTTAAGGGGATTATTGCGGGATCTACCACGCATGAAGCAGCACTGTTTGGTGTCACCCAATGGCGAACTTGGTCCTCTCAACAATTTGCAGACCGGGTGAAATCTGCATTCCCAAACGCCGAGCTGGCCCAAGAACTGATGAATGCATATGCCATCTCCGCAACATCTCCTGCTGAGACGTGCCTCCAGGGTTTCGTTGATATGGCTACCGACAGCATCTTCACTGGTTTGCCCTTCACCATCGCAGAAGAACCCTCCGCATCCCCGCCAATCAGCCTCTACAGATTCGACCAGGCGGACACATTCAGCCAAAGCCCCCTCAACGGGTATGCCTACCATGCACTGGACAACTCGTTCTTCTGCAGACTACCAGCCGTTGCAGGTCCGGGTGCCGACCCAGACATGAAGGAAACTGCAGACAGACTTTCTGAGGCGACTATTAATTTTGCATACGGATCGCAACCGTGGGAGACCTACAGCTCTAATCACTCGATCATGGTGTTCAACGGTAACAAGAGCGGCATCGTGAAGCTTAGTGAAATGGACCGATGGAGGCGGATTACCATGTCGGGCAACCTGGCCAGGGCGAAGGGGACGTGGAGGTCTGGAAACAAATTGCTGGGCATCCGCCATAGTTCTATGGATCGAGATCGAGCTTAAATGGGTGTCGTCACCGTTACGAACCAAGCAGAAATCAACGGCACGGTATCTCTCTATGGGAAAAGAACCACGCGGCGATGTGTGCTGTCACAGATGGATTGAAAGAGATAGAAGATAGCTCCTGCTTTTCCTTTCCTTTGCCCGGCAAATCCTGGTCATGGCCGTTTGACCAAATAAGAATCTCCCCCCTTCTTGCACGAACCGACGCCGTACGCTCAGTGCTCAATCTATCTACTCGTTCTTCTTCAACGGATTCTTCTTGCCCCCAGGCCACGCCCTGTCCTCGGGCAACTCACGCGCAATCCACCTCAAAATCGCGGCGTTTGTCTCTCGGGGCGCCTCCAGTGCCACCCACTGGCCGGCGCTGATGCTCACAGTGGTCAACTTCCTGCAGTAGTTCTTCATGGGCTCGCAGATGGTTGAGTTGTACGTGCCAGCCACGGGGTCGTTGAGGGTCTCGACGAACAGCACGGGAACGGAGATGACGCCCTCGTTGATGGACCAGTCTTCGCACCATTGCAGGTTGACGTCGTGGTTGAGGAAGTACGCGCTCGGAGCCCAGAATCCATCCTGGGAAAGCGCCTTGACCAGGTTCTTCTGCGTGTCCTCGTCCAGCAAGCTCTCGCCCGGCTCCTCGTCCTCCCCGTCGGCCTCAGGCAGCGACTCGGCGCCCCCGAACCACCCTCCGTCCTTGAGCACTTTGGCCGTGGCCGCCGGCTTGTCCTTGGCCAGCTCGGCGTTCACGGGACGAGCATAGACAAGTTTAATGAACCGCTCGATGTCGCTATCGAACAATTTAACGGCTTTTTCGTAGTTGTCGGGTTCCTCGTAGAACACCTGGTGCGCCCACTGCGCGTGTGGGTACTCCTCTTCCGGGTACAGGTCGCGGTTGGCGTACTTGACGAGTTCCCGAACACCCATCTCCAGTGTGCGGTACGGCATGCCCATGGTCACCACGCCCAGGCAGACTTCCGGGTTGTGCGCGACCAGTGCCCACACGACGGCCGCGCCCCAGTGGTCATGCCCGCCGACCCAGACGGCCTCGCCGCGTCCCAGATGCCGAAGGAACCGGACTAGTTGCTCCACGACGCCCTGCAAAGCGTAGTCGCGCTTCTCCCGGCTTTTGGGCCGAGACTGCCCGTACCCTGGCATGTCTGGGGCGACGACGCGGAAGCCCAGGGCCGAGAAGGTGGTTAGCTGGAGTTTCCACGTCTCTGCGACGGCGGGCCAGCCGTGGATGAAGACAAGCAGGGGACCATCTCTGGGGCCGGCGTCGAGGTACGAGAGGGTCTTGTCGTGCTTTGAGAACTCGTGCCGCGAGATCCCTGCCGCCGCCGCCGTCATCGTTATCGAGCAATCAACCTGCTGATCGGCCACAGTTTGGACGAATTGTCCAAGTCTCTCACAGCCTGGAAAGAGGTGCAAGATGGGGGGGGCCTTTACAGTATGCACTCTGTACCTGATCAGTCCACAGCAAAGCATCACCCCGGATTTGGCTTCTTACATATATATCCAAGCGGCGTATGCGAGGTAACACCCTATCCACCCGCCCGGCCGCCTGCTTACTTACCTTGCTGTGCTGTTTCTTGCATGGGTCATGGACTATTTGTCTTGGATGTGCGGAGAACTCACTATAGAACGTAACGCGCATGCATGGGAATCCTAGTACATGACGGGGACCCCGCTGGGTGAGTTGTCGCGCAAAAATCAAATGCCGAAGAGGGGAGAAGAGAGGGGAGGCCCAATGCTATGTAGAGAGTAATGATGGCTAAAGGCCTTCTTTTAGATCCAACATCGAATAATATTTACGTGTGCCTTCCGCTTCTTTTCTTTGTGGCGAAAAAGGGCCCTTTCAGCCTTGTCATGACAGATCAGAGAGGCAAATGCCATCATCCCCCCTTCCATGCGCCCTAGAGACGCCCTTGAAGCAGAAGGGGTTCGAGACTCGCCGGGTTGGGGCGCTGGCAATCTAAGGGTTTCTCATTTCAAGCGCATCAACCACGAAGGCTGTGCCGAGTCGAGAGGACAGGCCAGAGCAATACCATAGATCAAGAAGATCGACTCCCTCTTGTGTCCGTGCGTTTTCTCAGGCTGGTGAATCGAAAGATGGTTCTCAGCTGCACACCCTATGGGGGTTTTGCCATCTTCGAGTCATCTGTGGCATGGCACATCTTCATGAGAGTCCGCGCGATAGCCTGGTCATGCTGTGAGATCCACGCTGGGTGCTCATTTCCCTCGGGCCTAGGCAGCCCGTTGCCCTTGCTATTGAGGTCACAATGCCAGTGCGTGCTCTATCTCGTGCGCTTTACACAAGCGAAAAGTTCTTCTCCCTCTTCCACCCCTCAACCATTAACACCAACGTCTTTGTCGCCGGCTTTTCTTGTAATTCTCTTGGCAACGTCCTCGGGAACTCAACCGCCGCTTGCCTTAAGGCCGCAATGCCCGCGGCTCCGAAAAACAACACGAATCGGTCAATTGCATTGTTTTCGAGCATGCTCTTCAGCAATACCAGATGGCTGGTCTGCACCTCTTGTGGAGGCGTATTGGCAATATGCGCCAGACTAGACCAATAATGCACTGGTGGCCAGGGGTTGGAGACTTTTGCTTTTGAGAAGTTCCGGAGAGCGATCGACGCGTATCCCACACCGAGTCCTGTTAGACGATCATAGTGCTTGTTTTCATTCACAAAGGCCTTTTTCGAATCGGGGTCATCCGTGATTCTATCAAGGCGCCAGCCGAGTCGGTGTTTGCCCGCTGCAGTGGATTCGCGCCCGGAGATGCCGAAAAGAATCGGCGCAGTGGCATGGAATTTGCACATGAGGATGGGGATCAAGGAGACACTGGTTGGCTTTGTAGGCTGGGATGGACTGGCGGCGGATGGGACGTTGCGCGGAAATTGTAGTTCAGGCATGGAGAAGATCTGAGCAACCAGTGTACCAATGGGTTCGGCCGCCTTGGGGTTGACAGCACACTCACCCACAAAACCACTGATAACGGCTTTACTGAAGATGGAAAGCAGGTACAACGCCAGTGACGGAATCGTTGTCGTCCCATTGTCGCCCAGATTGAGGTGTGCCGGTAGGTATTCGCTGACAGATACTGGAGGAGAAGGTCGCTCCCTGAGAGCCTGATGCAACGTAGCCCTTAGTCGCTCATGCTGCAATGGTTAGTCTGGGAAGCTTCTGAATCAAAGGGTGTCCTCATAACTTACTGCCTTTTTGTTACCAACCTTGTCATCGGTCAACTGGCCTACGCTAGTGCGAATCGCCCGCCGCATGTCCCCTACATGGGGCTTCAAGCTGGGATCCTTCTTGGCCGCGATCCAGAAGTCTGAACGGAATTTCTTGAGCTTCTTGTGGAGAACTAGGTAGTTGGCATGTTGTGCTTCTACCTCTGGAGCTGGACTGGTGTCTTTGCCTTGGGCGGGCGTGGTGGATGGTGGTACTGTAACTTTGGTTGCAGTGACGGCCCTCTCAGCCTCTTGTCTCTTTAACGCAGCTTCTTGCTCAGCTTTGGCTTTGGCCTCTCGCTGTTTTTGCTCTGTCGCTTCCTTCTCCTTTCGCTCTCTTTCCTCTGCTTCAGCCTTTTGCTTTGCCTGACGTTCCGCTTCCTGGAGGGCACGCTCTTCCCGTTCACGGCGCTCTTTCTCTTCGAGGGCTCTTCGCTCTTCTTCGGCCCGTCTCCGTGCCTGGGCCCGGGCATGGGCTTGTGCCTTTGCCTCCGCCTCGGCCCTCCTTTGACTTTCTTCCTCCTCTAATCTCCTTCGCTCCTCTTCTTCACGTCTGCGACGGTCCTCTTCCTCCTGCTGAATGTAGGCCTGAAGAACAGCCTCGGCCTGTTTGCGCACAACCTCATGCTGGGCTTTTGCGGCATTGAGCTCTATCCGGTGAACCTCCGCCTGTGCCGACTCTAGAGCATCAAGCTCTTCCTGCTGTTGGCGTTTCTGGTAGGCGTGGAGCTTTGAACGCTCGATTTCGTGTAGATGGATCTGACTGAGGGCACGCTCCAATTCCCATTGCAACTGCCTGGATGGACTGTCGTCGGTGCGACGACCTCTAGGACTGCCCCTGGCCGAGAAGGGTGATGAGTGAAGTCGTCCCTGAGCCATTGCAACAGCACGTGACCCGAATTTCGGCTGACCACCCTCGAACGCCACCAGCAAAGAATGTTGGGAAAGGAGCGAGATGGGGATGGTGTGTCCAGAATGTCTCTCAGGATTGAGGGGTGACACTAATATTGGTGGGAAGGCAAGCTGCTCTGGGACCGAGTTTACTCGTACAAGTCAAAGACTGGAAGGATTGCCGTCTACTCGGTATATCGACGCACAAACCGCGACACACGGTGGCCAGAAGTAGGTAAACCAAGACACGAGTTCTCTGCCGATGCAAGGCTGCCATGCATTCTGAGACGCGTCAATGTTTATCCCATCTCTCTCACCCTTAAAAAAGTTATATGATAGAGCACTTGTCAGGACGGCTGAGAGAGCTCCAGGCCTTGTCAGCGTAAAGGTGGGCCGCTGCAAAGACTGGAGCAGCGTTAATGAAGGCAGTGAAGGTTGAAGAACAGAGTGACAAGGTCGACTGATTGTCGATTACGAGAGGGGTGAGCAGTGCTGATGGCCAAAGTGCAGAGCTGGTGGAATGTACGGAATACGGAGTTGCTGGTGAAGTTTCATGGAGGAACTTGCGGGCAGAGAGGCGACAAGTGCGGCAGAGCACCAAAGTACCAGACTCAGACATGGGTTTCAGCTTAGGCAAGCGTAGTGGAGCAAGTTAGGTGCCACGGTGCCACGGTGCCACCCAGCTGGCCGTCTCCCTGGCCTCTCCTGCTCTCTCCCCCTCGCCCGGGCTGGTGAGGCGGAACTAGGCCCGCCCAGGAAGCTTAGGGAGCCAAGGGAGCCAAGGGGAGCCTGTGACGCTGGCCAGAAGAGGCCCATTACCGCCCGCAACATCTCTTGGCGCATCATTTGTTGTTCCGTAGGCGGCGACTGCAACATGAATCACAAACAGCTGTCCGTCCGGTTGGTGTAGGCTGGTGAGGCTTTATAAAACCATCAGGAGAGCTAGCAGCGAACCTATTGCTCGCGACCTCCGCCCCTTGCCTCCCTGAATTCAAGAACCATGTGTGAAGACGGCCACGATGCTTACTCTGTCCGTCCCCGACAACCAAAGGATCAGGATAGTTCCCGGAAAGGAAAAGATGTCGAAGCCCTCGTGCGTTTTGATAGAGACCGAGGGAAGGGGCCGAAGAGGATCAAACATCCAGCAGAGGTTGCCTATAGGGCAGTCGCTGTGCTCAGAGAGTAGCCCTACGCAACCCTATGCTTCACCGTCACCGCATAAGCGAGTGAGCAGTGAGCAGGTTAACTAGACACCGTCGTGCCCTGTGCTGGTGTGCTTGTGCCTTCACCAGCCTGCGCCCAGAACCTCCACTAATACCAATACCTGTCTTTTCTCTCTCTACCAAAAAACCCATCCAGCACTTTCCCTCTTCTCCCCTCATCCGCATCCTCATCCACATCCTCATCCTCTGACTTGCTCTCCCTCTGTCCTGTCCTGTCCTTTTCCACATCGCTTCAGCGTTCGCCACACAGTCCTTCAATCCATCAGAGTCACTCTCTTGTGTGCTCTTGTCCTCTCCGTTGCGGGCGCCCGTCCCCGTCCAGTTCCGTTCCTGTCCTTCCCTCACCCCAAGAAATAAGTCTTACGTCGAATCGAGCCTGCCTTCCGCAACCTCGACCATCTCATCTGCCTGTGCCATATTGCGCAGTCTCCGGTTGCAATCACTACCCAGCCCCTCGAGTCCTCATTGCCATTGCGACGGCCATCAGCTCAACGCTACAATATCCCCTTCCTAGAGCGATTCTCCGTTGTCGTTGACACCGCCTGGTCACTCCACCTCACTTCGGCCCGCAGGCTCTCGACTCGAGTGTCGACCACTATACGCAACTGATTCGGATTCGTGACCATCTTTCGTCCAACCTTTGGGTTTCGCAGGATCTACAAAACTCTCAAGGGCATCAATACCCGGCTTCGATACATTGCTCGGCACAGTCCGAGGTGAGTCTCTATCGCTGTTTGCGAGCCTTGATCAAAATGTTCTGCTTGTGCCCCCGAATCCCCGTCGTCCTGTTTGGCTAATGGATTGATTGCCTTGATTGCTCCCCTAATTCGCCCTTCAATACCAGTTCTATATTGTGCTAATATTTATCCCTGTCCAGCTGCCGTCTTCTTTGCCTCCTTGTGCACGGATTCACTGGGACAATATCGTTGCCTCATTTCCCCCTCTCGAGGGCCTTCCCGGGGCTGGCCAGCCTCAACTCAAGCAGGAGCTAGGAAACATAGTTACTTGCTGAACACATCTCCACCATGGCACAACCCGGCTCATCTGGTGTGCCTGGCCCTGCAGGGCGCAGACTTCATATCGCCCATCGACGCAGTCCGTCCGAGCTCACTCCGCTCATGATGGAACAACTGGCTCTTCAGCAACAAATCGAGTTACTACAACAGCAACAACAACAGATCGCTGCTACTCATCAGCAGTACGTCAACATGGGCATGATTCAGCAGCCCTTGCAAGGCATGCCCACCTACTCCCCCATTCAAGGGCAACCCAATCTTTCGGGGATCTCACCCAACAACACCAACTTTCAGTTCCCCCAAATCCAGCAGCAAATGGCAATGCAGGCGAATCCCCCTACACAGCCCGCTGCTCACCGTAGAAATCAGTCCGCGCTTCCGGGGATGGCCATGGGCCCTCCGCCAGCACCATCTGCTGGCACTGCTGGTTCAGTCTATGGTGATTTCAACCAGCAGGCAATGGTTCAGAATCGTGAGAACGTCAGTGGTCGTGGCGGAAGAGGAGGTTCTGCACAGAGTGGACATACTCGACGTCATTCGCTAGCTCTTCCCGAGGCAAAGAAGGCCGCTGAACTCGCAGAAAAGAAGCGGACCGCTGCTGGGTTCCAGTTCCCGATCCCTGGAGCCGGGGGCATCGCGGAAAGTCCTGTGGCTGCCACGCCTGCCGATGACAGATTGAATACACCTGTTACTCCCGGCGGGGGATTGGGTCTCCAGCGTGCTGGCAACGCCCGTATGGTTGGTCACAGCCGGAGCCAGAGCATGGCCGCTGGAGGTGCCCGCGGTGGTGGTGCGGCTGGTCGCGGGGGTGGTGCGTTCCAGTTTCCATCTCAAGGCGATGCTGGTGCAGGTAACCAGTCAGAACTGCAGCGTCGTGGTAGCCAAAGCAATCACACCAGACAAGGATCCCGTAACTTTGAGGGCAATTGGCGTCAACAGAATAATCAGCAGACGACGGAGCAGTCGCCTCAACAGATGGGTCAATTCAGTCAACCGCAGGCGATGGGCGGTGGAAATTTCCAGCCTGGCCATCGTGGGCGAGGATCAATGAATCAGTCCATCGGTTCTATGAGTGGATTCCAATACCCCGGCCAGCCACAGCTGGTGCAACTCCCTCAAGGCCAGATGATGATGGCACCTCAGATGTTCGCTGGCCAGCAACTGAACGCTTTGCAAATCGCGCAGCTTCAGGCCATGCAAGGTGCACAACTTGGCGGTCTTCAAGCCAGTCAGCATGCTCCGCCAATGGGTTTGCAACAGCAACAGCAGCAGCGAAAGACACTTTTTACCCCCTACCTCCCGCAAGCTACGCTTCCTGCGTTGCTCAACGATGGGCAGCTGGTCGCTGGCATCCTCCGAGTGAACAAGAAGAATCGTTCCGATGCCTATGTCACTACCAACGACCTTGATGCAGATATCTTCATTTGTGGTAGCAAGGACCGGAACCGCGCGCTCGAAGGTGATTTGGTTGCAGTCGAGCTACTTGACGTTGATGAAGTCTGGGGTCAGAAGCGTGAGAAGGAAGAGAAGAAAAAACGCAAAGACATTACCGACACTCGCTCATCGGGTAATACCCAAAACGGCAAGAGCGATACATCGTCGACCACTGACACAACCTCCATTGCGCCAGATGGTAGCATCCGACGTCGCGGCAGTCTACGTCAGCGGCCAACGCAGAAGAAGAACGATGACGTTGAGGTCGAAGGTCAGAGCCTGCTCCTCATGGAGGAGGAAGAGATCAGCGACGAACAGAAACCTCTGTACGCTGGCCATGTGGTTGCCGTTATTGAGCGCGTTGCTGGGCAGATGTTTTCAGGCACCCTTGGTCTACTCCGACCAAGCAGTCAGGCCACGAAGGAAAAGCAGGAAGCGGAGCGACAGGCACGAGATGGAGGACATTCACGATCTGAGTCTCGCGCCCAAGACAAGCCAAAGATCGTATGGTTCAAACCCACCGACAAACGTGTGCCTCTGATCGCCATCCCAACGGAACAAGCCCCTCGAGATTTTGTCGATAAGCATATGGACTATGCCAACAGAATCTTCGTGGCGTGTATCAAGCGTTGGCCGATCACTTCCCTACATCCATTCGGTACCCTTGTCGAACAATTGGGCGAGATGGGTGATCTCCGCGTCGAGACAGATGCCTTGCTTCGAGACAACAACTTCGGATCTGATGAGTTCTCCGACGCCGTCTTGAAGAGTGTTGGATGGGATGACTGGTCGTTGAAGACTGAGGGCGAAGAGAGTCTAGCTGCACGCCTCGACCTCCGCCACGAGCGAACTTTCACCATCGACCCTAATGGCACCAGCGAGCTCGATGATGCTCTCCACATCAAGCAACTCGACGATGGCTTGGTCGAGCTTGGTATTCACGTCACGGATATTGCACATTTTGTCAAGGCGAACTCGTTGGTTGACCGAGAGGCCAAGAAGCGAGGAACTGGCGTTTACTTGATGACCAGGGCTGTGAACATGTTGCCGTCGAAACTGTCCGCTGACATTTGCTCCCTCGTTCCGGGCGAGGGTCGTCTAACTGTGAGTGTGATCTTCAAAGTCAGTACCGAGACAGGGCAGATCGAAGGAGAGCCTTTTATTGGAAAATCGATCATCCAGAGTTCTGGCAAGCTCGGATACCGTGCGATCGATGCGGTCATCAAGGGAGGCGAGCAACCTGAATTGCAGGGGCCCACAGTCGAGGACATCAAGACTCTGCATAAGATCGCCAGCAAATTCCGAGAAGCCCGCTTTGGCAACCGCTCCGAAAATATTGCCCCTCTACGACTGCTTTATCAACTCGATGACGAGAATATTCCCGTTGAGCAAAATATCTTCAACACATCTGCCGCCCACGAGATCATGGAGGAGATCAGCTGCAAAGCAAACTACTTTGTTGCGCAGAAGATTTTTGCTGCCATGCCTGACAAGGCCTTTTTGAGAAGACAGGCGCCTCCCAATCCACGTCGACTTTTGACCTTTGTCGATCGCCTGACCCGAGCTGGCTATGACATCGATAGCACTAGCAGTGGCAGCCTGCAGAACAGTCTCTTCAAGGTAGGAGACGCAGATCTGCGCAAGGGAATGGAAACTCTGTTGGTCAAGACATTGCAGCGCGCCAAATATTACATTGGTGACCAGGTTGCAGAAGAGCAACGTCAGCATTATGCCCTCAACTTGCCTCTCTACACTCATTTCACTAACCCTTCCCGCCGATATGCCGACATTGTCGTTCACCGGCAGCTGGAGGCTGCTCTCTCCAATGGTGCTGTTGAATTCAATGAAGATCTGGAGAGCTTGGCCAAGACAGCCGAACAGTGCAACAACAAAAAAGACTCTGCTCATTGCGCTCAGGAACAGAGCGTTCACATTGAATCGTGCCGGCTTATGGATAAGAAGAGTAAGGAAATGGGTGGCGATCTTATTAGCGAGGGTGTTGTCATTTGCGTTTACGAGTCTGCGTTCGATGTTCTTATCCCCGAATATGGATTCGAAAAGCGTGTGCACTGCGATCAGCTTCCGTTGAAAAAGGCCGAGTTCCGCAAGGAAGAACGAGTTCTTGAGCTTTACTGGGAGAAGGGGGTTCCGTCGTCCGCTTACGTCCCGGAGGACGAAAGACCGCGTGCCTCGGTGAGCACTAAAGGCACCAATGGTGCAACCGAGTCCGCTCGAGAACGCGCCAAGGAACGATACGAATCGCAACGGAAGCAGACGGACAGCAACACCATGTCGACTGACGATGTCGACGCACTCTTCGATGATGAGGATAGTGCATCCGAAATCACTGAGATGGCTGCTGGCGTTTCTCTGAATTCTCCGGTTGATCGATCATCTCACAGTATGCCCCCATCGCCCGCCCGTAACGGCGGGTCGAACCAAGCACAAGCTAGAGCGCAGTCCGAGTCAAAGATCGCCAAGCGAGCTGGCGATATTCCAGAGAATAATTTGACCGACAAGGAAAAGTATCTGAGCTACTTCAAGCTCCGAGAAGAGGGCGGCGAATACATTCAAGATGTGACTGAAATGACTCGTGTGCCGGTCATTTTGAAGACTGACCTGACAAAGAGTCCCCCGTAAGTTATGCGCGACTGAAGTTTATCTTTCTGGCCACTGACCAGTTGTCTAGATGCTTGACTATCCGGTCCATTAACCCATATGCATTGTAGTTAATGCATAATTATCAAGTAATTAGTCGCAGGAAAAACAGATCAACACCAAACAGACGGGGCAGACCTTTTCGGAGCGGCAAGGTCTACCGATTGCGAAACATCAACAAGGCAGCAGACAATCCGGGCAGGAAATCTTGTATTGATTGATCGAGTTGGAGCTGCATTGGCAGCTGAAGACACAGTCGGTGACTTGTGGCGTTTGGTGAAGGCTGAAGTCGATGGCGGAAGAATGCAAACCTCTTTTGGGATGGGAGTGAGAAGAGAGACTGAAGCTGAACTGACGCTCAACCATGTCGGAGTGGCAAAACAAGAATCATCGGTCGAAAGGTCTGAGCGGGCAGTTGTCGGAAAGAAGCACGCAGGAAAGGTGAGAGCGCCGCGGATCCTGTGTCTCCTAGTCAGAGTGCCTATTGAGCGTAGTATGAACACAAAAAGTTTTCTATGTTGTTTCTCTTATTTAATCGTGCCTCTGGAGTTCTGTATGTTGTAGTTATGGGGGGAGTTTCTCTTGATTTCATCCTGTCTGAGCTGCTGCAAAACGAGGACTCGTCCGGATGGCGGGTTTGTGAATCTGTTGTCTAGGTGCATACTGGTCAGCTAACGACGCCGACCGACAGCTCACAGACAGCCCTTTGAGTATACACAATGTTGAACAGCTCGGATCCCAGCTCATCTTGTGCTTGCCACTGACGCGTCTCTTTGAAAATAAGGTATCGGAATGTGGGTATCAGCCAGTCCAGTGTGCGGTAGTGTGCGGCATGCAATCTATCGTGATGTCACGTACAAAGTTCCCCGTTTCAGCTTCTCGCGGTTCCACCGCCCACGGTGTCGACTTGGTCGACCCTCAGGCGCCTTTGGTGATGCGCTCGAAAACACTGACTCCATAGCGGCCGAGCGCCGACGCGCACGCGACAGCGTCTGCGCCGACTTTTCTCATCCTCTCTGCGCCGTCCTTGTCCTCCACGCCCCCGACCCCGATGATCATGATGTCCTTGGTCACAGGATCTCGGTCGAGTAGTTTTCGAAACGTGGCGACGTTGCCCAGTGCCAACGGGTGGAGTGCTGCACCCGCCAGACCGCCCAGGCCGGTGCCAGACTCGTTGCTGAGGACCGGGTCGAAGCTTGAGTCGAGGAGGAGGCTGTTGCCCAATGTGTTGGTGCATGTGATGAAGTCGATCACAGAGCCTTCGCCCGGTTCAGAGGATTTTGCCTTGCGTAGAGAGTCGACGGCCATTTCGAACTGTCCGGTGTATGTGTATGGTGGAAGTTTCACGCCGACTTTGGGCACCGATTCAGGCGTCGCCATGCGCCCGCGATAGGTGGACTTGGAATCGCTGATTGCTTCCAGGTACTCATCCAGTTGTTTCTTGTCGTAAGCCGGCGGCGGCGCAGATGCGATATTGGGGCACGAAAGGTTGACTTCCATGGCTAGGCGGAGATCTTCGTCCATTTCGGCCGCGTTGGCGACGAGGGCATAGGCCATGGCGATTTCATCTGGCGTTCCTGTGACGGAGAGGATGAATGGTTTCTTGGTCGGAGTGTCGGTCCCCAGGTGGCGTTGGCCGACGATCTCATTGATGATGCCCAGGTATTCGGAGAGAGTGAGCGGGGAGTAGCCCAGCGTGTTGAGCGTTGATACAGGTTCTGATGAGGAGCTTGACGAGGAGGGTTTCGAAGCCTCACCTTTCGGGGCGTCGCCGGAGATGGTCTTGCCGGGAGTAAAGAAGATATACTGGTGGATCGAGTCGTCGTGGGTGAAGCCTTCCAGCAAAGAGGTTCGAATTGTCACGGCGCCTGTGTAGGGACTGTCGTACAGGGCTTTGATGTCTTCGAGGGTGGTGGCCCAGGGACAGGCGGAATTGAGGAGTGGTGGGCTGATCTTCAGCTTGTTGGTCGCCATGTTTGAGGCTTCCAGGACGTTGCTCCGAGACGGGAATGAAAAGGACTGTATCGCAGTATATCCCTCTATTTTGGGGTTTTTTTTCCCCTGTTTCCTCTCTCTCTCTCTCTCTCACGCACTCTCTCTATCTCTCCTTCTCTCCAGAGTAGTCTGTCGTGGGACTCACCGCTCTCTGATGTGAGGATGAGCTGCTCAGAAACGGCTCGAGGCCCCGGCTTTGACGATACTCGCTGTTAGACCGGGCTGGTTACCTTTCCAGAGCTGATTTGGAGAACGGTTGATACGCAGGTGAAGATCAACTGAGTCGCCTCCGTCAAACAGCCGGCGCGACCAACATGGCACGGAAAGTCCACCCCTACCCTGGTTTGACGAAATGGCTCGCGGGGAGACACGGACAAGCAATGGAGGGGAAAAAACAAGAGGAAGAAGCCAATGGTGCTATAATTATACCTGCTGCAACTTCTCCGTTCCTTGTGCCGTCTTCCTGGTGTTGGAAAGAAAAATGAGGTACGTGGCTGACTGGGCGACTCCGGATCTAGCACCATCAACAAATCATGAGGCAGCAAAATGTCTCAGATCTTGATAACAGGCAGAGACGCACACGCCTGCTCCAACAAGGCTGTCTACTGTGCACTCACCGAGCAGAACCCTGTACCGTCTGGGCATCGAGAATGCTCATCATTCATCTTCGTGTGTTTTGGTTCTCGTCTATCATCAGCTACGTACTAGGTACCTCGGAGAGGGAGAATGGCCGCTCCAACAAAGTTCAACAAATCCGTGTCAGACAGGAATCAGGCCTCCACGCCTCCGCACGACCAGGCAGGGCAAGGCTAGAAACCCCTGGGGCAGTTTCGAAATCTTTGGACTTGGTTTCCCGTGTCACACACAACAAAGAGCCGTGTCCTTGCATGCCTCCCTCTCACAGCTTCTGCATGGCCACGACATCAGTGGACTGGACGTGATCCTCGTCTCCTTCAATCTGCTGCTGCAGCTCGTCCAAAGACACCTTCTCGTCCTCGACAACCAGGTTGACCTGCATCTTCTTGATGCCAAAGCCAACAGGGACCAGCTTGTGCGCACCCCACACGAGCCCGTCCATCTCGATCGCCAACACATTTTTCACCAACTCGTCCATGTTCGTCTCGTCATCCCATGGTTTCACATCTAGCGTGACGATTGACTTGGCGGCAGGCTTGGCTTTGCCTTCCTTCTTCTTCCTGTAATCTGCCAATCTCTTCTCTCGCTCAGCCACGACTTCAGGGTCTTCCTCTTCCTCGTCCGAGCCGAAGAGATCGACCTCGTCTTCGTCCTCCTCGGCCTTTTCGGGCGCGTCCTTGGGATTCAGAGCCACGGCGACAGCCTCAGGGCCGTAGGTCGTAAAGGGCTTGGATGGGTCGCCGGGCAATGTCGAGAAGTCGGCTTCATATGACTTGACATGGTTGTACCAGCGGTAGGCATGAGGGTAGCGTTCGACGGGGGGACATTCTTTCAGGGCCTTGAAGCTCACGACGTCGGCTTGAGATGGCTGGAAGCTGCAGGTAATCAGTCAGCAGTCAGATCGGGCTTGGTGGTTTGTGCAGATTCATCTTTGCTTCTTCAAAAACTCAGAGGTGCAAATGCATGCGATTGGCAGTAGTCATTTTGCGGTGTCTTAAGCCGCCTCATCAACACGGACCAATTGATTCTCATCTTGGAAAAAATTCGAAGACAGGGGAGTAGCTCGGGAAAAGTCACGTACCCAGAGATGTATGAACGGGTCTTGAGCCAGTTGTTCAGGACTGTCATCGAGTCAGTGGCATGATTTGGAGGGGCGCAAAGGACAATACGACGTACTTGTGAGGCCACTGTCGGAGACGAAGTCGGTGAAACCCATCTTGACGGATATTTCAGGTGCTTTGGATGATTTGCGAGGGATCGAAAAGCTCAGCTACGGCGGAGGTGAGTGGGATGAGACGGCGCAGTCAAAAATTGGATCTGATCGATGCCCAAATTCGAAAAAAACATGAGTCGCCCATGCCAAGAACGGATACTGCGAGCTCGCCGCTTTAAGAGATAGCTACGAACATGCTACTCCCGGCAATCCCCCTTTAATATGGCACCTCGTATCTCCCGAGCAGAATGAAAGTACCAGACACACAAGAGAAGGCGATCGCACTTCAGCAGCTCTGTCATTCGGAGACCTCCCATTTGCACCCTCAACAACCCTCCTTCTTTAGGTTGAGATTGCCCACTTCCTTTGCCATTCTGTTCCATATTTTGCAGTCTTCTTCAATAGCCTTCTCGACCACGGGGACAGAGTAACAGGGCGAAATAGCCTGGCGAACACAGTGTTCGGCCGCGCTCGTCCATACAGACAGATCCGACCTGTAATCCTTCGGAAACTTACCCAGCCCGCACAAGCAAGTTATGTTTCCACCGGTCTTCGTAGCCAGCACGGTAGAGGGATCTTGTGATGTGTATTCGCATCTCGTGGTGTGCTCCCGGTCACGGCAGCGCTCTGCAAAAGATGTCCTAGCATGCTTCCAGAATGCCAGCGTCGCGTCACCAACTTCGTACGTAGAACGTTTTTGCCGTATTTCCCTGAGTAGTTCTTGCGTGCGTTCAGATCTAAGATTGGCTGGAGAAGGAAGTATTGCGCGCGTCTATAACAATGCTCGGACTTACTAGATCTAGACGTAGGGACGAAATAAAAATCATCATAACTGGGACTGCTTCTCCTCGGGGCACCAGACCAAACACCGTCTGTTGCTTCTCGCCAGCGAGGCCGCCACAGCGATGGAAGAGTTGACTGAGCATGTGTTTGAGATCGAAACGTAAATCGTTGACTTGGATGCAGGGGTCGACGTATCGGATGCACATCTCTTTTTCTCTCACCGAATGCAGTGACAACAAATACTGCTCCGTCCATTTGAGTTTAGAAGCCTCCGAGATACCAAGGATTGGAAGAGGTTCCATTCTGCTGCATCCAAGATGTTCGAGGATCGGCTTGCCACAGTCAGGAGACATTCCGTAGAGAGTATCAGAACAGCTTGATAGAAGGTCCGCTGCTGCGGCTCTGGCAATGAACTCGACATACGCAGATTTTGGAGCAATTCTCGTTCGGTAACCGGTGGTCGAATCCCCTGACGATAGACCACCAACCCTGAGCCGATGCTGAGTCCGACGACGAAAGCAGACAGTGGCTCAAATGCAACGTGATTTCCAGGCTGTAGCAAAAACCCAAGACTTGTGGATGACAGATCTATATGCAGGTTGAGCTTCTCCACTCTTGTTGCTTCCTCGTCGAATATCATCTGGAAGGTCACTTTGCCCGAATCAGCGGCGTATACAGCGGCTAGGAGGGTAGAAGCACTGGGTAAAAGATGGGCCGAGCCATTAGTCCTGTTGACAGGGTTATAAGAACGTCACTGTGATAAACCACCTGAGACGTTAACTGTCTCACCAATTGCACCACTTACCTCACCTTGATCTCGCCGATCTGCAATGGCATGACGTCGGCGTCGAGGCCTCAGGAAAGTCCTCCAGACCACAGGCCAAAGTGTATATAAACAGGCAGAGTCTCTCTGAGTAGGCAGAGAGACAGACACAATCAACCAGCTCTAACCATTCCTGTATTGTGTTCAACAAGTCCTTTCATGTTTGGAGGGATTCTGTGTGATGAAGAAGCTCTCGTCATTCGGAGCTGTCACATGAGCTCTGCTACGCAAGAGAGGATCCCCTGTTTCCTCCGCCTTAATTGCTCTTGCCAGGGCGCGCGCCTCCAAGAACTGTACCCACCAATCGAACTACTGTATAACCACAGTGGAGGAATGGGGTCCTTCCCACAACATACGCGTGGGCACAAGAGCTGAAATAACAAAAGGTTTGTGTCCTTCCAATTTGTTTTCGTCGGTCTCTATCTCGGCCGCACTGGCCAGCGGGTATCTCGTTCCTGTCGTTCGCACAATTCCGAAACCAATCTGCACGTCGGGAAAATGAGACTCGTGATCGGTGTATGGAAGTCGCAAGGAAAGCTGGAAGAGAACCATTCGCTGGTCTTAGAAGACTAGACAAAAAGGTGACCACCCCGAGCGCAGAACGACAACTGTAAGACCAACTGGTGGTGGAGCCTTTGGTGGAGCGGCAGGCCAGCTTCGAAGCGGAGTGAGGACTAGGCCTAGAGGTCTGGCACTCTCCATGCTGTTGTAGTACATAGCCGAAGTCGATAATTGGAATTCACGTAGATGCAGGTCAAATGACTGTAGATAGTGTGAGTCCATCCGATCAAGGGTTGATACATTGCGTAACCAGGAACCAAGACGTTCCCTGAAGTCTGGAAAAATAACAATTTAGCGTCTTTGGTTAGACTCAGAACCACGGTCAGACCAGCGCGTATGTACTATGGAAACCATAGTAGCGATAGCCTGTCGGCGGTCTGGAATGACAGAGCCGTCAGATTGTCATGTTCAAACATCCGCAGATACATGCTGTATACGAAATGTGCAAGGTGTTCCGCGTCAAACCTGACTTCGCCCATGTCGGCCCTCTTCCACACTATGACGAGGCGAGCTTGGCCTCCACCCGCTTCGCTCATAGACTGACCCAAAGCTTCTGGGAAAGGCGAGAAAACTGTTGCGTTGGTCCAGTATTGGATGAGACTGAAGCCAAAGAGGAGTGATACAGTAAGGCACTCTCCGCCCAACAGCCGTCTGGGATACGCCTCGGGACTGACATCGCGCAATTGCAAAAGTTCCATGTAGATGGTGGAGCTTTGACCAGGCTTGAGCAAAGGCTTGCAAGCTGCCAGGATATTCAATGACCCCAATGATCGACGAGATATGAAGTGTCAATGACACCGAGCATGTCTGTACCGGATAATCCTGAACGGTATTCCGTGGGATCTAGGACAAGCTGCTCGAGGCATAACCTATATTGATACCGAAAGGTACCCTTGCTGTTTTGGTAGACAATATGATGGTGCAAGACGTGGCAGAAAGCCAGAGCATCAGAGGCTCTTAAACGTGCGGTCAAACGATTCTTGACTCGCCGAGAGGTTTCGGCTCACACTTGGAACTGTCTTGCCGCGGCTTGAGCTGAGCAATTCACACCGGCCAACGGGATTGAATTGGGATTGATGGCAGAATTCTTAGTGAGTAGCACATAGGCAGTCGCTAAGTGGAAGATTGCAATGGCTCCATTATAACATAGAAGGACACTTTTCCATGCATGGTCGAAAATATTGGGTTACGGTACTTGGATCTGGCCACTAGTTTCGCATCGTTGTAAGCCACTCCCGTCTTCCAGTAACACCGGCCACGTCTTGACCAGGTGGAATGTTTTCTAATACATCGACCAGAGGTGTTTCCGACGGCGTAAAAGCCAGACAAGGCCGGGGTCGCCGTCGGTCCAATCATTCTGGGCGTTTTGCGTGGAGGAAAACAAGAACTGAAGAGGTGAGAAGGATGAAGTTGTGCGATCTAAGGGTTGGCTCGGCTGCCGGACTTGCTGAAGGGTGTGATCTAGGTGAAATTCATGTGAGCAGAGCCCGCCTCAAGAAGTGAATCCGAAAGCATCCAATCCACCGTACGACACTAGCTGCGTCACAAGACCGGGTCATGTCCTCGCCCGTTAATTTCCAACCAGGCGCGGCCACACGTTCGGTATAGTGCTCGCCCACCCCCTACCAGCCACGTCATCAAAGGAGCTCTTTGCGATATCCATAACTTGCGACGAGATTTATAGGTGTTGCACTCTGCAAGTCCGTTCAACCTTCGATTTCCGCCCAGTCTTCACACAATCCAGGCAAAGACCAGGTTCAGAATCCATTAAGCTGGAAAGATCCTTTGTTAGCTTTTTCTTCATTGTGCCATCTCGGGATGTAGCGAGTTCGCAGCGGGAATATGAGCTATTCGAGCAAGACAACTCTCCCGCCAGGCTGTTTGGTAAATTCGAGACTTTGTCGACCACTTTAAGCAAGCTCAGGCTCTCGAAGCCATCCTCGTAGGGAGCAATTTGCTGAGTCCGGAGGTTGGAGAGATACTTTGTCACTCCGTCGGATGATGCCCGACAGGAACAACCCAAGAGACGCGAGACTGGGTACATTAGAATTCTCTCCATCTTGCGATTGATCTCGACTCTCCTGCTATTGAGCACATCTACGCACGTAAGCATACCTGGACCATTAGATGGGTTACAGTTCGACCAACCCAGCAAAGAGCACGGCACAGTAGGGTGGTCCGTCAGACCTGGCAATGCTTCGAATGGCCCGGCTTGTGCCTGCATCAATCTCCATGAAATGTCCGAAAATGCGGTAGGGAGATCCAAGAGGTATGCCACCAGCAATTGCTTATTCAGCTCAGCGGCGAGGTAACTGTCTGATAGTCTCTGTAGCCATAGTGCTGCACAATGCCTCATTGCAACGGTGCATTGATATTTGTCACAGACCAAGGCCAGTTTTTCCAGGGCGTCGATTTTAAGCTCTTGTGGAATCTGGTCAAGTTGGAAATGGATGACTCTACAGACAAGTTTGAAAGCCTCAAGGTCATCCTCTGGCAAAGGGATGATGCGAGGATCACTCGTCATGGCCTGCGAAGTTCCTTCTTTGAAACCTGATCTGAGCATTGCACAAAACACTGGGGATGCCAGAGAGATGACTTTAGAGGAGATTCGAAGTCGTTGTTCTTCGATCTCGATGATGAGGTCACCATCGGGGTCAATATCGATAGTCGCCATGGTTCCGAGCAGCACGATGAAGAGATCGGAATTCGAAAGAGGGGATGCACAGGGTTGAATTCTCAGAGACTGGGAGCGAGGTTTGGACAAGGCAGTACCCCATGAGCCAATCGGAGCGGAGATGACGGACCCACTTCTGGACGTCTTGGCTTGACCATAGAAGGAATAGCCTAAGGCTTGGCGATTTATTCCGTGTTTGGGCATGGCACCTATGAAATCATTCGATGCGGCTCGAGGCTTCCAGAAGAACCAGACCAGAGTCGGACCAGAAAATATTTACCGTTCGATTCTTTAACAGTGTGGTTGACATGCATGCTTTTATCTATGACTGTCGATAACACTTGTGAAGCCGCCTGGCACTCTACCTCTTAGAAAAATCCGCTATGAACACCGCGAGGTCGACGCTCGTCCGGCGAGTAGTTTTTTCGCAAACGTCACCGTCTTCATTGCTCCGTCGAAGAGCCGCTCCTTTCCTAGTATCCGGTGTAAGCTATTCTGCGAGTCCTCGCTTCGTCCTCCCAGCGGCCACGTTCGTTCGCACGTACGCCAATGGACGACCTCATCCGCCTGGCGGAACCCATCGCATGAACATGGGAGGCGAGCCTGAAAAGCCTGCGCTGGAAGAATACGGCGTTGACCTGACAGCCCGAGCTAAAGACGGAAAATTAGACCCTGTGATTGGAAGAGATGGGGAGATTCACCGGACGATACAGATTCTCTCGCGTCGAACGAAGAACAATCCTGTCTTGATCGGTGCTGCCGGAACGGGCAAGACTGCCATTCTTGAAGGACTGGCCCAGAGGATAGTAAGAGGGGATGTACCTGAGAGCATCAAGAATAAGAGAGTCATCGCTTTAGACCTGGGTCAGTTGATAGCTGGTGCCAAATTCAGAGGCGACTTCGAAGAAAGGCTGAAGAGGGTCCTTAAAGAGGTGCAGGACGCACATGGCGGAGTCATTCTTTTTGTCGATGAACTGCACACGCTCCTCGGACTGGGAAAGGCCGAAGGTTCGATTGATGCCAGCAACCTCCTGAAGCCAGCTCTCTCGCGCGGCGAGCTACAATGCTGTGGCGCCACCACCCTGAACGAGTACCGCCAAATCGAGAAAGACGTGGCACTCGCACGGCGATTCCAACCGATCCTGGTTGGAGAGCCTTCAGTTCAAGACACGATCTCTATCTTGCGCGGCATCAAAGATCGCTATGAAGTCCATCACGGCGTCCGCATTACGGATAATGCTCTTGTCGCTGCCGCTACATACAGCAATCGGTACATTACAGATCGTTTCCTACCCGACAAGGCCATAGACCTTGTGGATGAGGCAGCTTCTGCTCTTCGCTTGCAACAAGAGTCCAAACCTGACGCAATTCAAAAACTAGACCGCGAGATAATGACCATTCAAATCGAGCTCGAGTCTCTGCGGAAAGAAACAGATATTGCTTCCAAGGAACGTCGGCAAAAGTTGGAGGAGACACTTTCAGAAAAGAAGAAGGAGGTGGACCGTCTAACCGAGATTTGGGACCGTGAGAAAGCAGAAATCGAAGCCATCAAGCGAACCAAAGAAAACCTGGAGAAGGCACGACATGAGTTGGAGCAAGCTAGACGCGAGGGGAACTTCGCCCGCGCAGGCGAACTTCAATACGCGACAATTCCCAAACTCGAAGCTCAATTGCCCAGGGAAGGTGACGAAGTTACCACGACAACGAAGAATGGAGAGACTCTGATTCATGACTCGGTGACTGCTGATGACATTGCCAACGTTGTGAGTCGAACAACAGGGATCCCAGTCACCAAGCTTATGGCTGGAGAAGTCGAAAAGCTTGTGAAGATGGAAGACAAATTGCGAGAGCATGTCCGTGGCCAAGATGAAGCCCTTACTGCAGTGGCCAACGCAGTCCGCATGCAACGAGCAGGTTTGAATGGTGAAAACCGCCCACTCGGGAGTTTCATGTTCCTAGGACCTACCGGTGTAGGAAAGACAGAACTTTGCAAACAGATTGCCAACTTCCTCTTCAGCACAGAATCCGCTGTGGTTCGATTCGACATGTCAGAGTTTCAGGAAAAGCACACTGTCTCACGACTCATTGGCGCTACCGCGGGCTACATCGGGTATGAGGATGCAGGGCAGCTGACAGAGGCTGTTCGGCGCAAGCCGTACGCCGTCCTCCTGTTCGACGAGTTTGAGAAGGCCCACCGTGACATCTCAAGCTTGCTGCTGCAAGTGCTCGACGAAGGTTTTCTCACAGATAGTCAAGGCCACAAAGTCGACTTCCGAAACACTCTGATTGTCTTGACTAGCAATCTTGGTGCTGAAATTCTGATGGGTAGTGGCGCTGATGTGGAATCAGTGACTCCCGAACAGAAGAAGGGAGTGATGGAAGTTGTGCAAGCCTCCTACCCGCCCGAATTCCTCAATCGAATCGATGAGTTCATCATCTTCAACAAGCTGTCCAGGTCTGCCTTGCGAGACATTGTGGATATTCGGATCCGCGAGCTTCAAGGGCGCCTTGATGACCGCAGAATAACCGTTGACGTTTCGCCTGAAGTCAAGGACTGGTTGTGCGAGAAGGGCTATGACCCCCGATATGGCGCCAGGCCACTCAACCGCTTAATACAGCACGAGATTGGGCGAAGGTTGGCAGACAGGATTATCAGAGGCGAACTGAAGACAGGAGACACTGCGAAGGTTATGGTGGCCAAGGACAGGGCCAACTTGGACTTAGAAGTTCAAGCAAAAGCGTGAAGTTTGAGGCGGCAAAATACCTTGCGTGGCTGTACAAAACTGCAAGCGGAGGCCAGACCCTGCAGTTTTTATACAGAACCGTCGAACAACATGGGGGGACAACACGGCACCCAAATGACCAGGGTCTGAAGACGCCAACTTCTCCCTCCTCGTCAAGCCCTGGCGACGCTTATTATGCCTGCCGACATTAAGACCCCTCTCTTCGATCATGTATCTCTCGAAGACAGAAACCGAGGGCAAAAGGCGGATCCATATGCACTACTTCAGTCTTCACTCTTGTATACCTTGAACACCTCCGTTCTCCACTATTGTCACTCTCCCACCACAAGATGAGAACGGCCAGCCACCGAGTTTAAGAGCTACGATGAGTTCAAAAGTTTGGAAATTGTTTCAGTACGAACTATACGACGAACATGAGGAGCTTTGAGGCGAAGGGCGCATTGTACCTGTCGATGATACCCCACTCTATTCAACAGTTCTGTGAGACGACGGTTCAAAATTGTATATATATCGAACAAAATGTACAGTATTGTGTAATTAGTGGAACAATCGAATGGTCTCTACTTTACTTTGACGTGATCTACTTTCCTTTGACTTGCTTTGCGTTCACTTTGCTTGTACTCCCTCCTACCAATCTAGCTTCCCGGCTATCTACAAGAGCTTCGCTGGCTTTCGATGTATCCGTAACGACAGGTCCTTTTCACATCTGGAGCACTTCTCGCTGGTCGTCGTGTGCTTTGCCATGTCCATCTCCTTCTTCCTCCTCGTCCCCTTCCCGCGCAGTGGTGGTGTCAGCGACTATCACTGGGAAGATTCGCCGTCCGGCGGCGCGCTTGTACGCCTTGACTTGCCTGTCCGCTTTTTGGACGATGCTCCATTGGAGTCTGCTCAGGAGGCCTTTCTTGTCTAGTCCTACCTCAAGTCCAGCGTCGTCCTCGTCGGGGAGCACGACGTTCAAAGGGGAGTCTCTCCTGCGCTGCCCCCTAGCCACGAAGAGCGTGTCAATGGCTTCGAGAGGTTGGCCGCCGGTTTCGGGGTAGAAGAGCCACACGATGATGGCATTTGCCAGGTTCAGCACGGCCCACACAATGTAGAACCTCCATCCCAGATTTTTGACCCCGTCTAGATGGGAGGAAGCAAGGCAGTCAGTCAGCGAACAAGACAGACGAAACGAAGATGAAGCAGATTTGTTTTCATTTGTCGAAACTTCAACTCACCAGGCGTGACTTCTACGACGAGGAAGTTGCCCAAGAAGTCAGCACCAGCGGCCAACGCGGCGCCCTTAGCTCGGATCTTCAGAGGCAGGATCTCCGGGGGATAGACCCAGACAGTGGCCATCCAACCCCAAGTGAAGCATGCTTCGAAGGCGAAGACGAAAAACACAGCCGCCACACCCGCGGAAGTGTTGTGGTAGTTGTCCGCCTCGATGCGGTTGACGGCGATTGATTCGGCCACGAGAACCAAACACATGCCGAGAGCCATTGAGATGAAGAGAAGCCGTCTCCCGACACGATCGATGGTGTACCAGGTGAGAAAGGAGGCAATGATGTACCACAATTGCAGAAAGCAGCCCATGAGAATGGACATCTCTTGGGACATGTTTAACGATGTACTGAAGAGCGTCGGGGCGTAGTATGTAACCTGAAGATTCGTCAGCTAATGTCTATTCCCACCAGTGGAGGGCGCATTGGCTCTGACAATGTTGATGCCCGACATCTGCTGCATGAATTGGATCCCCAGAGCCAGGTAGAATCTCTTGTTGGCCGAGATGCCGTTGTTGCGGAAAAGATCTGCCCAAGATCCTTCCTCCTTCTCTTCGATGGCGATGGCCTCCGTGATCTCGTCTTTCTCTATCTGCACGAGCTGGTCTTTCTCATCTCGTCCCCTCAGTCGGGCGATCACTGCAAGCCCTTCCGCCGGAGTTCGATGTCGCATGAGCCAACGCGGTGTGTCGGGAAGCCATGGAGCGACCAGGATGATATAGATAGCAAAGACCAGTTGAAAGGCCAGGGGAAATCTCCACTGGGCGCTGCTGTGAACGAAGTAGAAGCCGTAGTTGATCCAATACGCAATCATTAGCCCTCCAAGCATGGTCGTGAGCTGGCAGCATACTTGCCAGCCCCGTTGCGCGGCAGCACTGATTTCAGCTTGATAGACTGGGGTGACGGAGGTGATGTATCCGATCCCTATCCCGGTGCAAACTCGGGAAACCATGAACTGGATCCGTTCATAGCTGCTCGCCATGAGGATCGTGCCGATGATCAAGACCGTGGTCCCTAGCAGAAGCGTTCTCTTCCGGCCAAGTTGTTCCCCAGTCAAAGCAGCACCAATTGCACCGAATACAGCCCCAACATCATACAATGCAGTCATTGTACCAACCATGAGTGAGCTTGGATGGTCCATTTGCGCCAACCAGTATTTGGATATCACCACGCCCGACATAACTCCCTGGTCGTAGCCAAATAACAGAAAGCCTGACGAGCATACCGAGGTGATTGCGGCAATCAGCCGCCCACCGACGAATCGCTTCGTGCCTTGCATCGCTGTCATTTTGGAGGTCAGGTCTTGAGGCAGAGATGAGCGAGGAAGCGACAACAATAGACAGGCCGGTCATGATGATGCCGAGAGGCTCCGACGCCTCTTTATGGTCAAGATCCCACTCAAGCTTTTGGTCAAGCACTCCAAGCATTGGAAGCATTGCAAGGATGCTGGATGAATGCCACCTGCTTCATATGGGACAGGATTGACATGGAGCAATGACCATGACACGTCGGCAACGTGCCGATAGCCGTGACGGAGACGGTCACGGAGATGATCGACTAACTTATCCCAGCAGGCGGTGAAAATCATCTTCTCCTCGTGGTGGAGGGCGCGAGGTGGTTGCGATCGACGGAGAAAAGTCCGACAGCGTTGACACAGAAGGCTATGTACTCGGCATCGACGTCTCTTGTCGTGGCTGTAAAGGCATTGCTGATAGATCATGGGCTCCCCCCCAGGTTCTCGGCTATCAACCAGGTCACTCAATAAGCGAAGAGTGTATTCATGGCCCCTGAAGTAACAAGCCCATCGAATGCTCTCTGCTACCTTCTATTCCATCCAGGTCACATACAAGCTCATGCAGGCCTCCACTCATAGTGATGAGCTCCCCTGTGCGGCTTGCCAGGATCTTCGCCTTCAACACCTGGCCGATCAAACGCATGTGCGCCAAAGAAATCCATCTGGGCTTCCATGAATTGGGTAGGTAGAGCCGTGCTCCCACAGTACTTGAGGTACTCCAACGATGCAGACAGGCTGGGTATTACCGCCTCCCACTCCGTTGCCATTAGGACGGTCTTTTTCAGTGCCTCGTGGTTCTCCCGTAAGGCCTGCGAGACGGGCTTGAGGAGCTTGACGTTGGCCACCTTGGATTCTCCCTTAACAGATAGGACAGCTTCCATCATGTGACCGATCTGGCTCGATTTAATGATGCAGCCTTCTCGCCAGATGCGGATGCAAGTCGCAAGATCGATCTCCCATGCTTCTGCGTCCGAGGCTTTGCTGATAAGCTCGAGACCTTGGCAGAAGGCGCAGACAAATGATGCGTATACCGCTTTCTGGATGTCTTCGATAACGGCTTTTCGGTTTTGCACATTTGCCTGGTGAGGCGACGGCATCTGAAGCTCGTTGGCTACTTGAAGACGTTCGGCTCTGTTTCCGCTAGCCACACGGAGGAATTGCCCAGCTGCAATGGTGGGAGCTGACACATGTCGTACAGCAGCCTCCATGACGCTCCAGAATCCTGTACCTTCAGTGTTGTCATCGTCTTGTACCACCTTATCCAGCACATCGTCTAGTACATGTCCTCCCTCGCCTTCTGATGTCTGCTTCCTCTGACATATCTCTGCCCCGATTTGGATCAAGTAAGTGGACCGGAGTGGCCCTTCTATATTCCAACGCTGGAACACTTTACTAATCTCGTCGTTTTGCATCTCCAAGCAGTGCTTCATGATGCCCCAGGCTTCGCAAAGAGTGGATAGCATTCCATTCTCGATCCTTGCACCATCTTGACATAATGGCCTGAGCCTTTCGGACCAATGTAGGCCGTGCAAGGAGACTCTTTCGTGTCTTCTGGCGATTGTGCCTTTGCGGCAAACCTCTCCAGCAGAGGCAGAACCTTTTGAACGGCTTGCTTGTCGCCACCGGGTGACAAGCTCGGACCTCTCCTGGCGGACTGATATCCGCCAGAGACACCCATCCCGATCCAGGCCACACCCCATTTGGCGAGTGCCTCCTGTCGACGCTCCGTATTGCGATAATGCTCGTTTCCGCCATCAAGAATAATGTAGCCCTCCTTCAAATGATCTTGCAGCTTCTCCAACACCTGATCTGCTGGGTTTCCATGCGTGATGGAGAAAAGTAACACTTTAGTTTCTTGATTCGACAAACTGTTGCAGAATTCGGCAATGTCATTGAATTCGTCGATTTTGCCGCTCTGCTTCGCACCTTCGGGTGTGTTGGAGAGGGCCTGCTTCACGTTATCGGGCGAGATGTCCCATATGGATACGTCAATGCCGAGTTCTGAGATCCCCAGGGTCATCATGCTGCCCATGGATCCAGCACCAACAATGCAAATGCGTTTAAAAAGGGGGTCATTCTTTTGGGTGGATGACATGCTTGCGACCGTTTACTTTCCTGTCGGCTAAGCGGATGAACTCGACTCGTAAAAGCAAAAAGACTATGTTGGTCTCGGTGTGTAAGAGAAGCAGTTGAAGCAACTTGGGATATATTTCGTCATGAGGCCGTAACTTCAGCGCTCTAGCTGCCCTAGTGAGACGGATCCTTAAGTCCCGCCTCATTACATGGTGTGTGTGAAGTCGACGTTGAGTGCACCGTCCTCATGCACTCAAGATGGAGGGAGTAGCGTCGGGTTCAATGCATCGGGGGGCGAATGATATACCTCATTACACTACGGTAAAATCCCTGACTAGAACCAGGGTGTCGGGAAAGGCTTCCGGTCCCCTGGATCCACGCATTCAATCGGTTTAGAAGGAGTGTTGCATTTCCCCATTCGACCGTCCAGATGTATATTTGTGACGGCGAGCCAGTCTGTTAATGCCGCTGTGGTCCCCTGATGTCCTTATCCTAGGATGACATCACAAGTCTTAAAGTGATCTACTCTCCTGATTTCTATTCAGAGTAGACGTTGCAGTAGCATGAAAACTGCGACATTGGATAGAGCATTTACGTGCCGATCCAGTGCCGATAGGAGCAGCTACTTGGCTTAAAAGGCCAAAGTCCTAGTAATTACCTCGCCTTTCGTCGGCGGTTGTCTTACCCTTTCCCATCCACAGCCTTGCAAAGTGCCCACCGCCGTGAGAATCCTAGCCATGCGCCCTGGTCCTTGCACAAAGTCAAGGACTGGCGCGCTCGCTTTCTCTCATCCGGCTCTGGGGCACGAAGATCTGACCGAAATACTTTTCAAGCTGATCAACATCCTCAACATCGCAGACCAATGAAACATGCTGATCTGGTCGAACGACAACAAGGCAACCCCTCTTCTTGTCCAGTCCCCATCTCTCATAAGCATCATCAAAGGCGCCTTCTTCGCCATCGTTATTGTTCACAAAGCACTTCCAATAGTCATATCCGAGTTTCGGGTCAAACGGACAGAGGATCTTGGGTAGATCGGACAATTCAAGTTTGGAACGGGAGGCGGCATGTATCGTCAAAATCTCGATGACAGAGTCCAAATGTTTGTCCTCGGGTGTGTAGGCACGCAAAAATGTTGAAGCATTTTCTAGATGTTTGCAAAAATCCTGCAACCGTGTCAACTGCGTGGGTTCCCCAATATCGCCTGGGAGCACCAGTAGGCGCCACCGGCCATCGGATTGCAGAATCGAGTACACGTGTACAATGTTGGCTTCAGCATGATTCAGAACCAGATAAGAGGGCAGCCGCTGACCGACAATAATTCTGCCCGCCAATGACTGCTTCGAAGCGAGAGCAGACGGTTCTGTCAAAGCTATTGCGGGGTTCAGAAGTCGAGGACTCCTTGTGAGTGCAAGGGATCAAGACATTGGGGCCGTATTCGACACCAACCCCGCTGAGAAAGGTGCGAAATCTTCCATAAAACTCGTTGTAGTGACGTGCATCCGAACCTGTCCCTTTTTCGTAGAACTTGCACATTTCCTGATCCAGCTCTATCAGACGTGTAGCGACTGACTGGCGTTCGTTGTTGTATGTGCTAAGGATATGTGGTTGGGCGGTGCCTTTGATGACTTGGCCCAGTTTCCACATCAAATTGTACGTATCTTGTATAGACACGTTCATCCCTGCACCCATGGTGGGCGAATGGGTATGGACGGCATCGCCGGCTAGAAAGACTCGATTGTCTTTGTCGAACTTGGGCGCACATTGTTGACCCACAGTATAGACGGACCACCAATCACAGTGTTCATATTTAAGGCTCCATGGACTGAGAATGGTCGCCGCCTTTTCCGCGATCATCTCGATGGTGACCTTGTCGGTGTCGAAATCGTCTCGTTCGCTGCCAGTCTCGGCTAGTTGAACATAGAATCTGACCAAGCGATTCTCGCGGGGAAACGTCATCATGTTGCCCATCTTTGCCGAATGGATAGAGCATGAGATTCGTATGTCAGCTGGTAGAATTATTAGCATTCACTTGGCGTGGTTGTTGGTGTCTTCCACCACTTACGAAAATCTGTAACGGGAATGATGTCCATGACGCCGAAGTGGACTTTTGTCTTGTTACCCGCTATTTCCAGACCAACCTGTTGTCTGGTCCAGCTGTGTCCACCATCAGCACCTAGAAGATACTTGGTTTTCACGATTTCCTCAGCTGAAGGATCAGCAGTAGTAGTTAGTATGGATGTGGAGCTCATCAGGCAAGCAGACTCTCACAGTTCGCGTCCGACATGTCTCCCCTGCTCGCAGGAACCTGTCTTGAAATGCGTAAATTGATTGGATAAACGTTGTGGTCGTTCATGTTATCGTCATCCAATTGAAGACATTTCGTCTCCATGTCTCTCCCACACGAACACGACCTTCGCTTTCCAAGAAGTCGAGGAAGTTTTGCTCAATAAACCCTTGATGGATGCCCAGCTGACAAAACGACCATGCTGTTCCTCCTTTGCCAAAATCCTCTGCGTGTGTTGGATTCGGCTTTCATCATCAGGGTCAGGGTTCTTCGATTGTTATCAGTACACGGTCAACAGCAAGGAGCAGTTAATGTTACCCAAGAGCAAATTTCATGGAGATGGTAAGCTGATTTGTTATCTGAGTTGCCATGCCGAAGCTGTCAAGCATCTCCATTGTCCGCACGTGGAGCCCGTCTGCTCGCTCATTGTGCACTCTGTCCAGCTTATCGTCCAACAATCGAGTGTTCAAGGCAAGTCGACTCGCCCGAGATGCCGCAATCAAGCCGGCTGGACCAGCGCCGACAATAACCAGATCTCTATAGCTCACTTTTTGGTTCCATGGCCAGAGTGATATCTTAGATACTTGTGCCCGCAGGCTATTATGTCCTTTGTCAGCCTGAATTGAGGTATTGGCACATATGTAGTCCGGAATGCCTCATGTTCGAATAGGTAGATCAGTCAGAATTCGATGGAAATGCAGATCTCGCGATATACCTATGAACAGGGAGGGTTTCCTAAAAGCGCGTCTTGGTGCCTCTTGCGGGAAAAAGCTCGTAGACGCCCCGCTATGGCTTCATGATCCGGATCTCCTAGGCTGATATGAGCTCATGACTGAACTCATTCCAGCTCTCAGCGGCAAGATGATGAAGAGCTCCGAAGACGAAATTGGGTACAAGAAGGGCGACCTCTGTGTCACAATTCCGCCCCTTTCACATTCTGCTTTGGCACAGAATCGTCTGGTGTACAAGGACCTGTCTCAGGTCCTTCCGCCATCCGACCAGTTGCGATCTGGAGGGTTCGTGCCATCCGCCTTCAAGGACGAAGTGGTCCTGCCCCAGAACACATTCCCGAAACTACCCACCGACATCGTGGTTGCACATGCCAACTTCGTCCAAGGCGGCTGCATTCTCGCCATCGACATGAATCATTACTGCCTTGATGGCATCGGGTTTGTCATCGCGCTCAAAGCTTGGACCGAGAACTGTAGATATCTACAAGGCGACAACTCCGCAACATGCGATTGGTACGACCCGGAGAGCTTCAACCATAGTCTACCAGAAATCCTCCATGAGCAAGAAGGGTACTCCCGACCAGCTGACGAAATACATCCTAGGACATGGGGATTTCTACCGTTTTTCCCTCTCGAGGTACCATCTGAGAGTCGGAGAGACGATATACTCAAAACTGAGAAATCTTGCCTCCCCCCGGCCCCTGATTTCCCTCTGCACCCGGTCTGGCCATTACTTCGCGCGAAGAGAGAGATGAACACGACCATGTTCTTGATCTCTCCCGATAACGTGCAGAGGCTTAAACAAGAAGTGATGGCCGACCCAGAGGCCAAGGGGGTGATAACCTCCCTCAGTGACATCGTCCAAGCTTTCTTCTGGCGCTCTGCGATCAAAGCACGATATCGCGTGGCCAAGTAGCTACGAGGAGAGGCCTTTGGACCAGATGAAATGTCTATTTTTGAACTACCTACCGATGGCCGTCCGTATTTCTCTTCTTTGTTGCCCTCAACGTACATGGGCAGCGTTCTCATCCTGAACCGATCCAGTATGCCCATAGAGACACTCTGCGCACCCGAGACGAGCATCGGACGCATCGCGTATCTCCTCCGCGAGTCTTCTGCGCGTATCACGCCGTCCCTAGTTCACGATGCATTCACACTTCTGCAGTCTCTACCAGACCATAGCAGATTCTCCACCGCTAACATGGGTCTCACCCATATGCACGCCATGATATCGAACATGATCTTATTCCAGAAGAGCGAGATCTCCTTTGGAGATAAGTTCTTTGCCAACGGAGGCTCTCCTGAAACCATGTGACCACAGCTCGAACGGGGCAACGGCCGTTTTCGATTTTTGTGCATCTTTCCCATGAAGAAGGATGGAGGCGTGGAGCTGGCATTTGGAACATTCCCCGAAGAGTTGGGGATGCTTCAAACGGATGAAGAGTTCACCAAGTACACAAAGCTTTTGGACACTAGTTGCTGAGGTTCGGTATATGTGAAAATCTTCAATTGCAGTCTCCTCTCCGCTATCGATGTGAAAAATTTTAGAGCACTAGATTATCGGAAAAGCGCAGAAGCCTGTCACGTAGTAGGGAGAGCTAGATATCGAAAATGGTCTTGTGATCCTGCAATTAACCAAACCCTAACACAATCAGAAGTACCGTAGTCCCTTTACATTGGAGTGGTAGCGCCTTAAGAGAGAGTTGTTCTACACTATTTGCATCGTGTTGGTGAGATAGTAAACCTTTCTCGATGTGTCCAGTCTTTGAGAGCTCGCTGTTAAACGTCTCTCGTATAATACTCATGTCCTCGTGAACTCGGATTGGAAGCAGCGCTATCCTGCAATGTATCCGCGACCTGTACAGTCGAATAACAGCCCATGTGTTGTCCGAAGTCTGTCTGGTGTTGCTTGTCCATGTACGGAGTAATTATCTATTTCCGTACTACAGGTCTAGATAAAGAATGGCCCCACCCATGCGCCGGTCCCAATGGGTTAAATTGTTGACAGGGTCGCGAGAGCGCCACTGGGGCAAACCATCTGAGACGCTAGGTGCTTCCCCAACTGCGCAAACTGCCTCAACCTCGTTGTTCCTGCAGACCTGTGATAGGATGGCGACGGAATAAGAGGTTTCAGGAATGCTCTTATGGTTACAAGCCAATGTATATATATAAACAGGCAGAGTCTCTCTGAATAGCCAGGGGGACGCAACACCATCCACCAGACAGTTCCACAACTCAACATTCGTTTAACATAAATACTTATGACTATCTTGGCCAAGGCTATGCTATACCTAATTAGGAAAGGACGTCCTTCCGACACCGTGCAATAGACTCTAGAAAGCATTAGCTGTTGCGGAGTTCCTACGACCTCTTACCTATCCCACTATTTGCACTGTGTTGAGAAATAAAATCTACACCCATATTGTAACAGAGCACTTCAGGGTTCGGCGTGCACGTGCAACAACGCACAGGGGCCTGTCCAGCAGGTCGGGAATCGAGAACGCGTTTCTGGTTGGCACTGACAAGACAACACCACCAACACCACCCAGAGGGGCAATGGCTAGGGCTACAAACACCTAGCACAGCGGCAGCATCGAGGAACAGGACAGAATTGATAAAACACTCAGGAATTAGGTAGACGGCACCAAAAAGCCATAGAATTCATCGTACTCTCTCAAACTGTAAAGAATGGCACTCTGCCAGCATTGTAAACTGTTTCGCACTCCCCTCTGCCAGCCCATTTTGGTTTGACATGTGACTAGACAACTTCTCCCCCCTTTGCTACCACTCTACCAGCCCTGCACAGCACAGCACAGCCACTTTGCCTTGTTACTAGTACTACTAGTATAATATGATGGTCGATTTTGTGTTTTCGTACTCGACTATACTTGTACGGATCGAACCGCTCAAAGATGCTTGCGCAATTCGCATAACTCGCCAGGGGCGTGACACGCCCCGCCACGATTACGACTACCATGAGAAGGGTCCACCCCGAAATCCTGCTCGTATGAAGCACGAGACGCGACTTGCAGATTGAGAACATAGTAAAAGGTTATCAAGTGAGCAAGTTAAACTTGCCTTTTATAGTTGTCGTACGGGTTCTCCCCTGCACCGCCCAGAACCATCGACTCAGATCCCTGTTTCCTAGGTAGTACTATGAACAGACCTATACTACGCTAGAGCGAGTAAGTTTTGGTTGGTTGTATTCGAGCCGGCCCGAATCTAGACTCATTACATACTAGTTCTGGTGACCCGCGACCCACATTTTTAAACTTGCTCAAGTTAATTACTGCTGTCCACTTCGACTTCATCCTTTCCACCGAATTTGTTCTGGCTGCGGAGAGAGGGGGTTGTGGGGGATATAGGAAGAGCTAGAGAATGAATTGAAATTGTTCTCATGTTATGACTCTGTATTGGTAACATTACGCACTACAAAAGAGCCACGGTCATCACGCACTCGCATGAAAGCGGGTCTCGCTGGGGGACTTCTGTATAAACTTGCGGATTGGTCACAAATCCTGCTCACTATCAAATCATTCTCACTACCACGCTGCGCAGGAATTTCTCCCTGACCATTATCGCAAACACCAGTGAATAGACCACAACGATCTGCCAAGATGGGAGCCCTCGCTTGTGCGCCTTCAAAGGGGTGGGTGGTTCGGGTTGGCCGTCATTTAGACCTTCTTGACCTGCCGCTGTAAGATAGCGAACTTCCTCACTCACACCATACGCGCCTTCTCAGCTCTTGGACCAGATCACTGTTATTTTCCTTTTCCGCCCGGATTTTATCCTCGACGACGCTTCTTCTGTCTCCGACCTCAACGGCTCTTTTCTCTCCTCCCGCGGCTAACCATGGCAATACCAGAAGAAGCCCGCATCGAGGACAGCGAGATTAGCCTGGACGATTCCGAAAACTCGAATACAGCCGACCACAACAATGAATCTCCAGACAGAACTGCCCAGTCCGGCGTCCGAGATATCGAGGCCACGACGGTGGTGTGGACAACCAAGGCCCTGATTTTCGCCTATGTCATGCTCTGGATCACTTACTTCGTGGAGGGAATGCTCGGGGGCGTCACAGCTGCCCTAAACCCATATGTCACTTCTGCTTTCGCCCTCCACTCGCTCACGCCGACCGTCGGTGTCTTGAGCAGCGTTATCGGCGGCGTCACCAATCTCACCCTCGCCAAGATCCTCGACGTTTTTGGTCGACCCCAGGGATATCTGTTCTGCGTCTCCCTTGCCACGATAGGGCTCATTATGATGGCGGCGTGCAACAATGTCGAATCCTACGCAGCTGCACAGGTATTCTACACGGTTGGCAACAACGGTCTCCAATATAGCCTGTCTGTCTTCGTCGCCGACACATCCAAGCTCCGCAACCGAGGCCTGATGCAGGCTATTGTCAGTACGCCGAATTTGATCACCTGCTGGTTAGCTGGCCCCATCTCAACGGGTTTCCTAAACGGGCCGGGCTGGCGCTGGGCTTTTGGCATGTTCACGATTCTTGTGCCGGCCGTGACGCTCCCACTCTGGGGCCTCCTCCTGAAGAACTACTTCAAGGCCAAGAAGCTAGGTCTCATCTCGAAGATCAATAATCAACGAAATCCCTTACAGTCGACTCTCCACTACTGCCGCGAATTCGATGCCATTGGCCTCCTTCTGATGTCTGCTGGATTCGCTCTCTTTCTCTTACCCTTCGACCTTTACACTTTACAGGCAAAGGGCTGGGACTCGGCTCTTGTTATCAGTATGCTAGTCCTCGGAGTTGTTCTGATCATTACTTTTGTCATATGGGAAAAGTTCTTTGTCTCAACCACCTTCATGCCTTACTCTCTTCTCCTGGACCGGACTGTTTTCGGTGCTTGCATTCTATCTGCGACACTATTTATCAGCTACTACTGCTGGGCGAGCTTCCTCAGTTCTTTCTTGCAAGTTGTAAACGGCCTAAGTGTCTCAGATGCGAGCTACGTTCAGCAAACTTATACAGTTTGTTCCGTTCTCTGCTCCGTGGGCGTGGGCGCCTTTATCCACTATACCGGACGTTTCAAGCCCGTCTGCCTTTTTGTTGGAATGCCATTGAGTATCCTGGGTATCGGCCTCATGATCAACTTCCTCGGACCTAGTGGTAACATTGGGTATATCGTTATGTGTCAGATTTTCATTTCGGTCGGCTCCGGTATTGTCGTCATCTGCGATGAGATTGCTATACTGGCGGCCACTTCACATCAACATACTGCCGTTTGTATCGCCGTGCTATCAATGTTTGCTAGTGTTGGGGGGGCAATCGGCTTGACGATTGCCTCGGCCATCTGGCAAGATACCTTCCCCAAGAAGCTTGCGGACTACCTTCCGGCGAAGGATCTCCCGAATCTACTCTTGATCTATACGGATCTCAGTACTCAATTGTCATACCCGATGGGCTCAGATACTCGTCTCGCAATACAGCGTGCCTATGCAGACGCTCAAAAAATGTTGTTGACCGCAGGGACCGCTGTGTGGGTTGCCGGCGTGATCGGGGTTCTTATGTGGCGTAATATCAACGTGATTGGCATCCAGCAAACTAAAGGTCATGTTTGGTGAGCTGACCTGGCGAGAAAGAAAGGTTTTGACTGCCCATGATTATGTTTTCACAGCCAGAGACGATCTCAGTGGGTCTCCAAGTACACATATATGAAGATAAAAGTATCAATGACTACTCGACGTCAGTGTGAGCATCTCCAATCGAGGCCGCCTCGCTAGTACAGAGCACTAGAGAAGCAGAAGTCACGAGGGGAAATTGGCGCAGATGCCTTTATTTGCACAACTTCCTACTATCTATATAGGTCTGGCAACGCTGTAATTAACGGGCCTACCGTGAGTTTGACTTTCTTGCACCGTCAAAGTGGACAGTCCGAATGAGGATACGCGGCGGCAGATGCGGCCAGGAAAGGCTTTTCGAAACTGGGTTGGATGTAGTAGTGACGTTGGTGCGGTGGCTTAGTTGAATGGCCGACAATCCAGGAGAAAGTAAAGCCGTTGCGGAGAGAATGGCTATCGCTTCTTTCAGGGCAGAGAAGCGAGCAAGTTTGGTCGGTACAAAGAAGGAAGTTTGTTTGATATGGGCCGCACAGGTTGTTTCCTCTTAGGACCCTCGAAGTCGGCCATGGCCCTGACCACAGGCCTATAGCCTCCTATCGAGTCTTCAGGCGAAAAGTCTTTCCCTATTCGTACCAGTAGACGTACTAGACTCCGGGCCATTAAGTGTGGCTACAACGATCCCTGGTTTCTCTTTAATCCCCGTCCGAGTCTCGGTGTGCTCTTTGGCCAGCTCTT